ATCCATCGTGACTCCCTATTGCGGATAATGGCATTTGATACTGTACCACCAAAAATAATTGCCATGATCAAAGCATACTACTGCTTCACGACTACGTGGATCCTAGTTCACAACAACCTGATATTTTACCAACAAAAAAGGCACACCAATAAGGCCTTTTCTGCCTTATTGGGCGTCATCAAATGGTGGTAGTCCATTTTCTGAAACAGATCGGTGTACAGTTGCCCACTACTATATAGGCCCGATCACAAACCGACAACACGGCGGACCCGTGGCTCAAGGGTTAGGGCGTTCGCCTCTGACCAGAGAGACGCGAGTTCGAAACTCGGGTGTGACAGCAATTTCCGTTGACACACTGGAGTCGGGCTACCACCACCTCATGACGCCCAATGAGGCAGAATAGGCCTTAGTGGTGTGCTCTGTGTTTGTCAGTAAATACCACTGTAAATAAAAGCTAGCGAGTACACCTTGAACACATACGATTGGGGTTCCAATTAGCTTGCAAACAAGGCATCAACCAGGATTGGTACCTCCTGAAACAGATCGGTGTACAGTTGCCCACTATCACAACAACCTCTCAGAACCCTTTGCTATCCGGTCAGGCATTCGAGAAGTCTGTGTCCTGTCGCCCATCCTCTTTAACTACGCCATTGATTGGGTTCTCGGGAAGGCCCTACAGGAAAATGACGGTATTGAGCATGCAGCTGGGCGCTGGTTGACTGACCTCAATTATGCCGATCATATTGGATTATCAGTCTCAAGCTTTGACGATCTACAGTCATGGTATCATGGTATCATGGGTGAACGAGGTCGTGAACTCGATCGGTCTGTCTATAAAGGCCGGGAATGCCGAAGTTTTTTCATGCTGCATCCCTGCCCAAGAGAAGGCACCTCTCGGGATTAGTGGCTGTCAACTTGAAGATATAGACGGTTTTAAATACTTTGGAGCGAAGTTGCTGCCGAATAAACAGAGTAAAGATGATATTGTTTCCCGAATTGACGCAGCACGACGAGTTATCTCCAGTCTTCGGAAGTGTCTCTGGCCCCGACGCGATATCTCTATATTCACAAAGATTCGCATGTATCGTGCATCTGTGCGGTCCGTTCTGCTATGCAGATGCGAATGTTGGGCTATGCGCGTGGAAGCTGAACGGAAGTTGGAAGTCTTTGACCACTACTACTTGAGGGCCATCCTTCGAGTAAAGTACACCGACTTCATCTCAAATGAGACAGTCCACACTCGCTGCGACCAAATCACAAGCATATCCCTGGCCATTCAAGAAAGACAACTGAGGTGTTTTGGAAACGTTCTTATTTGTCAACCTCAGGAGCTTAGTGCTACTGTCCCCAACTTGAAACCCATACCTAATGGGAAACGTCGTAGAGAAGGTCAACTAAAAACCTGGTTCGACTCAGTCTGTCAGGACATGGAAGTGGTTCTTGGACCTTCGGTATTCGGTCTCCGGCGCCGGAGAAGAAACTGGGTGGAGTTCTCCAGATCCGCTGCAGCAAATCGTAACGCATGGAGAGGTACCGTTCGTGACATCATCGAGACCGGCTAGATCAGGCATGACCAGAGCCGTTATAAGTACAAGTAAGTACCAGACCTTCATTCTACGCCGCATACTGGGACATAGATCACCACTGCCTGTTTCACCGACTTCAAGACAGCCTTTGATTCCATCGGCAGAGAAGCCTTGTGGCAAATCTTGCTCGCTGATGGTCTCTCAGTAAAGTTGCACAGTTTGATCAAAGCCTACTATAGCGCACCATCAGCCCGAGTAAGAGCCCCCGGTGAAGAGTCAGATTCCTACCCATTGACTTATTGAGTTCGACAACGATACACTCTTCCCGAGTTCTCTTCAACTGCTTGATTGACTGAGGATGCATCAATCAGTTCTACCTGACAGTGGATGTGAAATGAGCCCTGAATTCAGAGTACCTTACCTGGATTATACCGATAATATCGTCGAAATCGGCAATACACCTCAATCACTACAGCCGACGCTAGACCGAATCACCAGCTTCACTGCAATTGTTGGTCTAATGATTAATCAGGTCAGGTCTATTAGGGAAATATAGGTAAATACCTTTGAAGTCCCTCTTGGTATAGAGCAGATGTGATGCAGAAAATGTCGTTGCCAATAATGGAATTGCGTAAAAAGGGCAGACAGTAGAAAAACTTCTAAGGCATTGTTCTGAAGGAGGAGCCCATCGCGGTTTCTTCCATATCCTAACGAAACAGGAGGAGAAGATCGCGGAGGTCGCGAGAACATCACCGAGTCTCGGACATGCGTACATCATACGCCCTTGCTGGTTACCGGGTCTGCCGAACAGATAACGAAACACGGGGCCCACCACGAACCCTAGCAGTTATTCTAAACAAAAATACTACTGAAAAGTGGCGAGCGGTATGTTTTTTATAAAATGGAATTACTCTGTCGTTCCTGGCTTCGATTTAGGGGACGTGTTTTCCATAGTGGTCCAACTTCATCTTAAACGTGTCCACAGAAGGGGACATGACAATGTCCATAGGCAGAGTATTCAGTGCCTTAATTACCCTCTTAAAGAAGAAGAAATTTCGTGTATCCAATCTTGCCCAGTCACACGTATTTTGAGAGGATGTCAGCGCAAGCTAGTGGTAGTGGCCAGTTCAAAAAATTCGTTGGGTGCTAAGCAACAATCCTGACCCCGCAGCATGCGAAATGCCTGTATTAGGTCACCACGCAGCTGTCTGTAATTCAGAGGAAATAAGAAAGATTGATCAGTCATGTCTCGTAAGGAAGGTACGCTTGGCCTCGCACCAAATTAATTTCGCGTCGTTGTACCCTTTCACGGGTTTTTCGGTTTTTGGCTGACCAAGGTTTCCAGGCTTGTAAGTTTTACTCCAATTGGAGTCGTACAAACGTCCCAAAGACCTTACCAAAGCATATTTCGTCGAACTTAGCAAAGGCGCGCCTAACCCATTACCTCCCATAATTTTAACCACTTTGATTTTTGTTATGAAATTGGAGTACATTTTTGATTTTTTCAACCTTGTATATAAATTAATGTAGAGCAAATTTTTTAAAAATCTCATGTGGATATCAGAGAAATATACCTAAT